GAAGCAGGGCTGAGGGAGCGCGCGGGCAGGGCCGAGCCGCCAAGGTGACTTCAGCGCTGGGGTGAGAAACGGTGTGTTCTGAGGGGAAATAATTCGTGAAGTATTCGGTAGGAGTCGGGGAGGGAAAAAAAAACTTGTTTTTTTGTCTCCCGGGAGAGCAATCTGAGGAGGCTAGTTTTAAATTTAATTTTCAGATCTGCCTTGGGGTACCATTGCGCGCTGACAGGTTTGGTTTTCTTCTTGTTAGGAAGACAGGCACACAGACACACAGACACACACACACACACGTATATAAAAGCATTGCGAATGAGGAGTAGGAATCTTTGGTGCTTCCCATAGGTCTTACTTTTGGCGCTCAGGAATGCACAGTGAGTAAAACGGAAACACTGCGCTTGTGGAAGGGCAGTTTTATCGCACTGATACCTTTGATGGGTAAAAAAAGCTGTCTAGATTGTCCAGCTGCCTTCTTCCAGTTGCAGTTGTGTATTTAGACACCATGTAAAGGCAGGCAAAGTTTTGTTGGAGCTGCTACAAGATTTGAATTCTGTAAGAACCACACTGCCCTTATCAGACTTGGCTGTCTTTGAAGGGTAAACAATTCCACACTGCTATGTCCAGCATCATGAGACAGCATCGGCTTGTGCAGTATTAGTTGTTTCTTTAAAAATGTAAAGAGGGTGTAAGCGTATACATGCTTTGTCTATATGCGAGCCATCCATTCTGAGGTTTATAATTTAGAAAGCCAGTGCATGTGTGAAGATAACAAAAAGAGCTAACAAAAGGTGGAGGGAAGTGCCCATAATGCATTAAAAGTATGAATACAAATAAGGGAATAAGTTCATCTTTTATTCTAGTTTCATGTATACTTTTAGCCCTGTCAAATTACAGTAAATTAGGTTGTGTGTCATATGCTGCTAAACTACTTATAATATAAATTAATTTCCAAACTGACTATAAGTGATTTTTCTCCTGGCAGCATTCTCAACATTGTTTTTATGAATGGCATTTTTATACCCTATACATGCTGATACAAATAAATTGAAAAATAGCCCAAATATCTACATGTAAATAATAGAAACAAAATAATAAAATAAATGAGGAATCAGAAATCAAAACAAAAGAAGAAAGCGAATATGGAGAAAAGATTAATAATATTGGATAGAGCTATTATCTGTCTCGTAAGCCTTACTAACTGCTGAAAAGCTGTTTTGTTTGCTGTTGAAGAACAGATGGATGGAGAAAGCTGTTCAGTGTAGTTATTTTTTTGAATCTTTTATGTTTATTTTTTCGTCTTTGGTCTGTGAATACTGTGCCTTGACTGTGGTTTTCCTGCAAGTTTGAAAATGAGGTGGGAGGAGATAGTGTTTTACATTTTGTGTATTAATCTGGATTTTATCTCCACTTTAAATTCTGTGCCAGTTACCCATACCAGACCACATTTATAGTCCTTTTTTTAAAAAAAAAAAAAAAAAAAAAAAAGTAATAGTGTCTTTTTGTTCTTAAAGCAATTGTGAACAGATCAGTTCCAGATGTCTGTGCAACTTGCCACATTCATGCTACGTGCCATCAAATTGAAGGGAAGAGTGTCTGCATCTGTAACTATGGATTTGTAGGCAACGGAAGAACTCATTGTCAAGGTAGGCTGCCTGTTTTTAAAATGCCAAGAAACTGTGTGTGTTCCTAAAATGTTTTTTCTCGCGTAATATTACTGAATTCTTCAAAACACAGTAAAACCTTTGTAATTTTGTCACAGAATTTCCAAAACAGAATATGTGTGGGTTGTTTTTCCTTTTTTTTTTTTTTCCTCCAGCAGTGAGCCATGAGTTGTACCTTACTTGTACTTGATATAAATACTGTTTTATACTTGGTTGCTTAACTATTTTATTCAGTTTCTGCTATATAGTGAAGGATTTAAATTAATTTTGTCTTAGAAAATGTAGTTTTTATCACATGTTTACTTGTAAAATATAATGTATTGGAATGGTTTATTTAATATTTTTCATCCTAGCTTCAGCAAAAAAAAATTGAATATGGTGGGGTTCACTGTTATTCTTTTCAAGCTGTGAGTTGAACTGAAAACTAGACAATAAATCTGACAATTAAAATTAGTACTTTTTGCTGATTTTTTTCAATTACCTGAGGTTACTGGGTAACTGAAAATTTGTTTCATAAGTGAAGTTCTGTTATTAATAACAATGTGCATATATACACAGATTTCTTAAGTGCAAATGCCTGTTATATGAAAAGTATTGTTCAGCATTGTTTTATTACTGGAGCTGATAGTGTCCTTTTAATACTATCTCATACATGACAAATCAATACATGAATCAAAGGATGATGTCAAATGCTGCATCTGAGTCTGTGCAATAGCTTACCACTATTTAAAGGGGAAGGTCCTCCACCTCTGATCTCTTCCACTCCCATCTCTTCCCCTTCCTGCACAAGGACTGACACCTGCTGGGCCCTGCGCAGAATTCATCTACATCGTTATTGTGGAAGAAGAAGAGCTGCATATTTTGCTGTGTTAATTCTTTCCCAGTTGGGTGAGTTGCGTAAGAGCAGTACAAGCTCCATCAAGTGCTGCAGCCAGTGTGTGCTGTTGGAAGAGCAGAAGCAGAGAGCAGGGCCCTCTGGTTTCAGCTGCTCTTAGATCAACTCAAGCTGTATCATGAAACTTTATTCACTGTTTCATCCAGGGACAAGAACCTCTGTTGGTCTAAATACTCCACCTTACTAGTAGTGTTCACATGCCAGATAACTTAGGAAGATACTAAGGGGAACTCTGGTTACACAAGAATGAGTGAGGAGGGAAGAGTATTCTACTCTTCTTAATCTCTATCTGATGTGTTTTAACTGTGCTGACAGATAAGGATGAATGCCAGATTGGAGCTAGCAAGATCTGTGGAAATCATACACTGTGTCATAATACCCACGGGAGTTTTTACTGTGTTTGCCTTGATGGATACCGAGCCTCCAACAACAACAAGACATTTATTCCCAATGATGGCACAAACTGTACAGGTGAGCATCACAAAGAATCTTGAGCACCATGAATCCAGAACTTAAGTTTTCTACTGCACAAGTCTTTTTTTCCTGTGACTTTAGATCTTACTTTCTAAAACTGCATCAGAGCACCTTCTGCTGTGGATACAAACACTTATTTGACATCTAGGTTCTAACAGCTGTGAATTAGTTCGGTTTTGCATTCTTTGCTGTGTTATAAATCATTGCTTTGCAGTCACATTCAAGCAATAATCTTTCCAGAAGAAGAGGAAGTGAGACTAAAGAAAATAAGACGATACTTATCTTTCCTCCAGAAAGTCATATATGTGTTTAGTATAGGGTATTAGCCAGTTCCTTGTTATAGTAATGAACCATTGTAACTGATTAAGATATTTGCATATATGGGATTTTTTCTGGGAATGTTGTAGCAGGAGATAACATTGAAAACTATTTGTTAGGTAAAACAGAAACAATTAAAAAGATAGCTATAGCTACAAAATTGAGAGTCTCCTCTTTCCAGATGCTTGAACAACAGGCAATGATAAGCTCTTTTGTTTCCCAGAAGAACTTTCAGAAGCTGCATAGAACCCTTCATGGGATGCTGTATTTGTTTCAAGCTTAGTTCCTACATTAGTTAAAAAAATAGTCACTAAGTGCATATATTTTTCTCTGAATTTGTAGATATCGACGAATGTGAGGAGTCTGGGGTGTGTGGTCGCAATGCAAGATGTGTGAATACTGAAGGAAGCTACAAGTGTTACTGCAATGATGGTTACAAATTAGAAAATGGAGAGCGTTCTTTTCATCCAGATGGGAACATAGTTTCATGCAAAGGTGAGAGTCTTTGGATGCTGTTTTTGCTAGCAGATAAAATCAGATCTTAGATGATGTAGTGGTACTGGCTCTGACCTGTGCTTTACATCTGCAGGGCAGAAGCTCTCTCTGTGAACTTTGCCTGCTGTATGATTTTTTTTCTTCTTAGATTAGTTCCAGCGGTGTCTACACCTGATATGATTTCTACAGGGTCTCAGCAGTGGTTCAGGTGTGCAGGGTCAGAGAAGCTTAATAATTCCATGAAGGTGGTGTAGTTAGTTTCTTAATAGGAAGGAAGTGTGGTATAACCCACTTGCTTATATAATCACACTGGATGAAGGTGAGAGGATAAATAGCTGGTGAGAGAGGTCAGATTAATGAAACAAGCCCAGGGGAGAGAAATAATAAAATAATAGTTTAGCTGTTTATTACACACTGTGCCACTTGCATAAATAAACTGTTCTTTTTACCTTGCCTTAAAAAAAAAAAAATCAATGTGAAACTATTCCTCCTTTGCTCTCTAGCGTAGGTTTTCACAGATGCAAAATGCTAGCAGTGTAAGCTGTAGCTGTCAGTGTGTATAAACCCAGGCATCCCAGGTGGAAGGAGCTGCCTCAATTATATCCAGCTCTCATTTCTGAATTATTGCAAGAACAGTCAGTAAGGCTCACTGCCTGTAGTTCATCCAGTTTTTCTAACTGGAGTGCTCCACTTTGTTTTGCCAGAGTTGCTGGTAACCCTGCTTATCTCACCAACTTCCCCCTCCACATGCGATGGGGAAGTGGTGTGTCTGTGCTGACTAATGTCGCTTGTGGAGTTAGCAGGGGAGCAGGCTAGATGGAGGAATGGAGGGGCAGACCGTTTCACTTCAGCCTGTCCGCAGTGCTTCACCTTTCCCATGCACAGGGAAATAAATCTGTGTGTTAGGGCCTGAAATGTTCCTCTGATCTTGAAGGATTGTTCAGCCATTGCTGTAACACAACACTGGCACACGCAAAGCACCATCACATTGCAGTGTCTCCTCTTTGGTGTTGCGAATGGCTCCAGCTGAATGTTAGTAAAGATGTAGCTCAATACCTGGGTCACTGTGTTCCTCCAGCTGTGGCCACCACAACTGTTCATTTCTGATCAAACCCTTTGGCAACCCCTCAGATTCCTCAGATTGGGTGTATTGTGTGATACGACTGTCTCCAGGTTTAGCTCATCTTGAAGTGGTTGTGCTTTGTGATTTTTGTATTGCAAGATCTTCTAACCCAATCTCTTTGCAGAAATTGGATGTGGTTCACCTCCTGAAATGAAGCATGGTTACATTGTGGGGAACTACAGTTTGCGACCAGGAAGTGTGGTTCATTATGAATGTAAAGAAGGATATTACAGCGATGAGGGAAAGTTCTCATATTGCACTGCAAATGAAACTTGGGAACCTGCCACTTTAATCTGTAAAGGTGAAAAGAGTCTTAAATCTTCCTTAAATTCTACATTAAGGGGGTTTATTCATGGGGAAGTGTGTTTGTGAAAGATGTTTCCTCAGCCTGAAGGATAATTTTTCAAAATCTGGCTGTTTGCAAAAGAAAACAAGAAAAGACAAGGACAGGTTATAAAATTGTGCCATGTCTTCTTAATTAGTATTAATGACATTTTCGATGCTGGTCCTTGCATTTTTACAGACACTGCAATGTGTCCTTCTGCTTGTGAACTAAAGCCTAGAAACCAACCAGATTTCTGCAGCATTTCATAGGAGAGGCCATTTTGTTGGAAGGCATCAGAGACCTCTCATGAAAATAACAGTTTTTCTGGCAGCTTGTGGAGTTTTTTTTTCTAAGGTTGTTTGGAGATGCAAAAGAGAGGCATCATACCACCCCTCATCTCTGCATAGATTTCATGATTTTAAGAGCATTTGTGCATGAGGAAACACTTTCATGGCTCTGAAGGGTGAATTTTCCTGTGAGCATCTTTAAAACTTCCACTTGTTTGGTGTTCTAATTGCCCATTCTGTTTAAATAATACTGCTTACCAGTGCAGGATTTTACATTCCTGTGAGTACTTAGAAAGTCTGTATATTAGTTAAATGACACTTGAAGTGCTAGTAACTGAAGCTGTGTATAACAATTCTATAGAGGAGAATTGTCACCCTGAAAGTTATCACCTAGTGAGGAGAGTTCCTTCTCTCAAAATACAAAAGCCCTGTCGGTTTTTAATTCTTTCCCCCGCCCCCCC